TAATAATGACAATAATAATAATAATAATAATAATAATAATGATAATGATAGGCCCTTAACAATAATTTCATTTATATAAAGCAGCCTGGACAGTATTGCCATCTAGTGGACGATTTGGTCATTTCTTTTTGTTAGGAATCACCAAAAAATAATGACAGGTGTTATTTATTGCCCAGCTGGAAAAGAAAAATTGTGACCAGGTCATGTCACGAAAACTTCACCGCCCCTGAATCATCATACAAGGGACATAACTCAAGAACCATGCATCGGTCCAAATATTATATGGATTATCTCCCTTGAACATATTGATTGAATTGCCAGTTGTGAGTTCTGCACGCTTGTTTGCAATGACCCCACCAAAGATAACTATTTATAGACCTAGATCTAGTATTAGCGACAGAACATTCGATAGCCTAACATACAGAGAACATGGAAGTGGAATACGGACAACTTTATGGAAACTAAACAGTACACGCCAATCCTAACGATGAAATCAACACGGAGGGAGATAAAGTAAAAGGCGTAAAACATTTGTGGGAGGGACTGAGAGATTCAGTCAGATGGACTACAGCTGGACACAGGAGCACTCAGAATACAGCTCACGCAGAAGTCTATGGAGACCTCTTGTTGGTGGCCTACACTTTCCGGTACAGGGTGACAGATGATGATGATGATGATGATGATGATGATGATGATGATGATGATGATGATGATGATGATGATGATGATAAGGACAAATAAACTTGTTAAAATTTGCTACGCTTACCAAAGTCATCTCTGAATTCTGAATTAATTGATAAATCTCACCAGTTTGTCCATGCGCCGCTAGGAACACATCCACGTCAGTGCGCATGCCCGCGTTGTGCAGTTCCTGTTGTGTCTCCGCCAATAGGATGGGCAGATTGTCCATGGTAATGGCGGCCTCCATGCTGATGTCTGCCAGCCCCACCCACAGGCGCAGAGGGTACAGTTGCTGGATGATGCGACCTGGCAAAACAAATACATTCTTCTGTCAGCAATGAACAGTCTGCTGAAAACGGTACTGTCTGTAATGGATGTACAGAAAGTGAAACTGCAGAAGAGGGAAAAGAAATTGGTGGTGTCCCGAAGGAGTCAAGCAACAATTAGCCTGTTGTAAATGGAGATGTCATTCACCTGCTGACCGTAGAAATGTAGATAGCCACACGGATAGTGAGAGGGGGGGGGGGTGCTTCAGACGCAGTTGACAATGACACTAGTCTGTCAGACAAGAAGTCCTCCTTAATCTCTGCTGTGTCAGGTTCTAGTGCCGAGGAAGATTCAGAAAGTATTACATGTACATATGTATTACAGACATGTCGGCGAAACAGACCCCAGGAACAAGTTAGACAAACAATACAGAAGACTCTAAATCTGGACGTAATCTCTCAGAAACAACGAGCGGTGGTGAAAAGTGTGAAGAAAATCAAGTCAAAAGTAAGAAATGGAACGGACAAGAAGGCTGTGGATGCAGATCGTGGCGTATTAACCCTTTCTGTGCTGAGTTATTACAACTAATGACGCGGGAATCGAACTTGAGTCTCCTACCTGCTACGACGAAGAGCTTAACCACTTCAGCACAGAGTGACGCTCGTGTGAGATTCTCGACACACATTGTTGTACCCCCCCCGGCAGTGCTACTGACTGAAGTTGTCTTTAGGCATTTCCCAAAGGGGGCGAGGGGGGTATTAACATGTTCTTAAGCACAGTAGAATTGTGATTGGCTGATTTATCAATGTCATGCTCGTACTGTGCCGGTACAACATAGTGGGAACTGCTTGATTTTCTTTCGTCATCCTTACTATCGTCATTTTCCTCTACTTCTTTTGTATGTTTGTCACTCTCTTGTGAACTGCTATTTCCGGGGTGCCTTGATAGTCGAAGCAGACTTGGTGCTGTTGAGGCAAGAGATGTGAGCCGAGTAAGTCTGATTCCCTGTTTAGACTTCTCTGTTGACATCCACCCCTTGGCGCACACATATAACCTTATGCATTTGCATGCGCCGTAAAAAAGCTTGCCAACCAAAACATAAGCCATTATCGTTGTTGTTTGTTCATCCTCAAAAGTCAATGACCCGGTGGCCAGCTGCTGTATATGACGACACACCCCGGCGGGAGGGGGGCGGGGCTTGATAGACCTAGGTACAGTAATCGGAGAAGTTCACGGGGAGGCCAAATAGGCGCCAGGCGGGGCGAACGTTGGGGTTGGGGGGGGAAGAGAGGGAACGGGAGATGGAGTGGGTGGGTGAGGGGGGGGGGTTACATCAGTTAAATGTCAGTGAACTTGTTGCACTTGAGGCCGGGCAGAGCATGACAACAGCAACAACAACAGCAACAACAACAACAACCATATAGACGCATTCCCCATTTTGTTGAACTGTGCTTGGAGGGGAAATCGATACGCTGTTTTTGTTTTTTTTCTTGTTTTTTTTTTGGGGGGGGGGGGGGGGGGGTTTGTTGAACTGTGCTTGGAGGGGAAATCGATACGCTGTTTTTGTTTTTTTTCTTGTTTTTTTTTTGGGG